AATGTAAACAGATTAAGATTAGATATTTTCTCTTGCAGATTTTCGCAGAAGAAGAAGAAAAAGAAGAAGAAGAAAATATTAAGCATAAAAAGATGAAGAAGAGAAGATGAAAAAGAAGAAGAAAAAGAAAGGAAAATAATTGGAAGTAGAGGCAAAAGAATATGAAGAATAACAAGATGAAGAAGAAGAAGAAGAAAAGAAGAAGAAGAAGACGTAGAAAGAAGATGACGAAGAAGATGATGCTGATGTTATATTTCTCTGTTTGTCAACAATTTTACTAATAATTTGGGTTTTGGGTTTTATACTAATTAGTTATTAATGTCTTGGCTGATGAACACTGGGAACATTCTTTCAAAGGTGCTTACCGAAAGGTCACACGATTTGTTGGAGAGAAATCCTAATTTCAGATCTCCAGCTGAAAATAATAACCGTGTAAAAGAAAGAGATAATAATAATAATAATAATAATAATAATAATAATAATAATAATAATAAATTTTAAATTTCACAGCAAAGACAAACGAATGTAAACCTTTTTTTTTTTTTTTTTTTTTTTTTTTTAAACAACGCTATTTTCAACGACTTTAAAAAATAACGGAATTTACATTTACATATTACATTTTATGAATTTATGAAAAGAAAATGCGATCTTTCTAAGAAGGAATATCGTGGAATTTACAGATGGGCCAATAAATTATTTTTTAAATTTCACAGCAAAGACAAACGAATGTAAACTTTTTTTTTTTTTTTTTAACCAGCGTCATTCTCTTTGATTTCCAATCGTGTCTCTGTCTATTGTTGCTTGGCAACCCATTTAGGAGAAGGAAAACTCCGAACAACAACCCGCAACTCAAATGTTAATCGTGCCGAGGAGTGAATGGCTACTGCGTTATGAGGTCGCGAACGATCCCCTCCAGGCTTCGGAACCCTGTCTGTAAAAGACCGTTACTCAACGTGCCGGGCAACTTTGGGTGGACTTTTGGACCCGTGCGTCACTCGTGGGATTAATATGAAAATTAAAAATAGAAACAAAACGTCCAGTATGGCTCTTCCAGTGGATAAACAGGGAGCCCGTCCTTCAGGAGGAACCTACCTGAGGTCGAAAAAAAATCTGCCATAGGAACAAACTCCTACACAAAGAATGAATCTTCAGGTCCCCCACAACCAGGATAATCCTAATGATGGTCCTGTAAATTCTCCAGCTAGATCCATAACCGTAAATTTAAGGAAAGAAAAAAAAAATGGTCTCGTGAGGGAGTACAAAGTTGTTATGACTGCATTCCATGAAGCGTTACTCAAACCTCAGAAAACATCACTCGCCAAACATATGACATTTGGCGAGAGAAGGTTGGGCAAACAATTAGAAAGTACATAGACAAAAATAACTAGCCAATGTAAGAAGGGACATCATGCGAAATAACCGATTGACAGAGGCTGAAATTAATGAAATAAAAGAATTGCAACAAGAATAGATGAACCAACAAAACATGAAAAGGAACCGGAATCGGAAAAAAAAAGTAATAACATCACACAAGCCTCAGGTCATAATGAAAAAACCGAAATACACAAAATCACTGTGAAGATAATGCTGAAAATTTAGAAATGTTGGAAAGGTATGATCTTAGTCAGTCACAAGACGGTAATAAAACGAGTCCAAAATTCATCGAACAGAATTATTTCACAGAAAACAAGATTAATATACAAGAAGCCAAGGATGAAATCATGAGCCATATAAGTCAGATACAGAATATTGCAATGGAGGAACGAGAACAACTCCCAAAATTACAACCAACAAAGCATAACCTCAAAACTATTAAGCTCTATAATGCAGCACTCAAATTGATTCTGGATGAAGAAGACACTCATATAAATCTCAATGAAGCAATATATGCATCAGCAATAGCAGCAACAAATAAACTGAACATCAAAGTAAAAAAAGGCAGTCTCACAGACATGAAGATCCACCTTGGAAAAGAAAAAAAGAAAAGAAATTGAACACCTTAGAAGTGAATTATCAGTACTCGATGAACTAGCAAGAGGAGTAAATGTAAGAACTAGAAAAGGCAGAAGAGTCGAAAGAAAATACAATATCAGGAATGAAAATGAAGTCCTATCAACTAAAGAAAAAAATAAAGCAAACAATACAACTGAAGGCTCAAAGAATAAGACGCTACGAGAAAAGATCAAGATTCTATAGACAGAACAAGATCTTTCAAACCGATGCAAAAAAGAAATTTTACAGGGAAATAGGTAAACAAAAGAATTGAAGTGACAGTCCCCCTAAAATGGAAGAAGTTATACAGTTCTGGGGGAAAAATATGGGCTTGCCCTAAAGAACACAACGAAGAGGCAGATTGGATTGCGCAAGAGTTAGAACGAATGAAAAAATAAACCAGAACAGACATGGGCAGGAATCACAGAAGAAGATGTTAAATGTGCACTGAAAAAAAGCACACAACTGGAAATCTCCAGGAATTGATAAAATTTCTAACTTCTGGCTATATTATTTAAATACAGCACAAAAAAACTCATAAAGAACTTCAAGAAATGGTTACCGATCCAACTAAAATTCCTGCATGGATGACCAAAGGAGTTACCTTTCTTCTACCCAAAAATAGTGACACAAATATTCCGAAAACTATAGACCAATTACATGTCTTCCAACAACATACAAACTGTTAACATCTATTTTAACAAAACAGACATATTTCTTCTTGGAAAGAAATGACATACTACCACTTGAACAAAAAGGGTGCAAACGAGGCTGCTACGGATGTAAAGACCAATTACTTATTAATAGGATGATCCTGGAAAACTGCTTCCGTGGAAAAAAAAAAATCTTAGTATTGCCTGGATAGATTATCGTAAAGCATTCGATAGTGTACCACATTCCTGGATCTTAAAGTCTTTAAGTATGTACAAAGGTATCACCCGTTATCATCAATTTCATCAAACAATGTATGTCGATATGGAAAACTACACTTTACCTCAATCATAAAAATGGAACCTATAAGTCTGGCGAAATAAACATCAATAGAGGAATATTTCAAGGTGACTCTTTGTCTCCTTTATTATTTTGCATATCACTTATAGCATTAACCAGCCAACTTAACAAGACAGAATGCGGTTACAAAATAGCTCAAAAGAAAATAAACCATCTATTTTACATGGATGACTTAAAATTGTATGCTAGGAATGACAATGAGCTGGAAGGTCTTCTGCAAACTGTAAAATGCTTCAGTGAAGACATTGAATGAAATTCAATTTGGATAAATGTGCTAAAGCTACAGTTTTACGAGGATCGCTACAACAAACTTCCTCTATTAGTTTAGACCCTGCTGTAACAATAAAAGATTTAGAACAAGGAGAAGCTTATAAGTACCTAGGTGTAAATGAGAGTGAAGGAATTCACCATAAGAAAATGAAAAAAATAGTGCGTAAAGAGTACTATAGAAGGGTACGACTGGTATTAAAAACTGAATTGAATTCTCAGAACAGAATTATGGCAATTAATAACCTTGCCATCCCAGTGGTCCAATATAGTTTCAACATCTTGAACTGGACTCTAAATGACATCAGACAAATGGATTCTAAAACAAGAAAGCTTCTTTCTAAGTATAAGATGCATCATCCAAAGGCTGATGTAGACCGTCTATACATACCCGTAAAGAAGGTGGAAGAGGTCTTATTCAGCTAGAATTGTCATACAAGACAACAACTATTGGCTTACTAACTTACATGGAAACAACAAATGACTGGATGATAAAATTAGTGAAACAACATGAAAACAGAAAGAAAAAATATTCAATAATAAAAGAAGGCAGTAAATACAAACAACATTTACATTTAGTAGATTCTGTAGTAAATCAAAACAGAAGCCAAGAACCAACTATTGCAGCAAAAGATATGAAAAAAAAGCCAAGGATAAAGCCCTTGAACAGATGAAACAACGCTGGCAAGACAAACCTCTGCATGGCCAATATCCAGAACGTGCAAATAAACCCAATGTTGATAAAGTTAATACTCATCGATGGTTACGAGCATCTGGATTAAAGTCTGAAACTGAAGGCTTTATTCTTGCAGCGCAAGACCAGAGTCTTTTCACTAGGAATTTTCAGGCAAATATCATACATAATAATGTGGATCCAAAATGCAGGTTCTGTGACAAATACCAAGAAACAATAGACCATCTAATCTCAGGATGTTCTATACTTGCCCCAAATGAATATAAAAATCGTCACGATAGAGTGGGGCAATACTTACACTGGACAATGTGCAAACACTTTGGAAAATGTGTAAGCAAACACTGGTATGAACATCGGCCAGCGCCGGTTACAGAAATAGAAGATGTCACCATTCTATGGGATTATACCATCCACACAGACAGAAAAATTGAAGCAAATAGGCCGGACATTATTGTCAAAAACCAGAAAGAAAAAAACTTGCCTACTAATTGATATGGCTTGTCCAGCGGATTGTAACATAGCAACCAAGGAATTTGAAAAACTATCAAAATACAAAGACCTGAAATTGAAATAGAAAAAATGTGGAAATTGAAAACAAGAATAATACCAGTGGTAATAGGTGCACTTGAATTATAAAAAATGGAACAAAACAACACATTGAAAGAATCCCTGAAACCCCAGCTTAAGAGACATACAGAAAATTGTCTTATTAAGTACAGCACACACACTAAGGAGAACTTTGTCTATGTAACGCTAGCAACTTCATCGGAGATAAAAAAAAAAAAAAAAAAAAAAATTAACATGAAATGTGGCCATAACAACACACCACGACCTGCCTTAGGTCTTTCCGCAGACTTGGTAGGTAGTGTGTCCATAGCAGAAATAATAATAATAATAATAATAATAGATTTGCCTATTTTGTCAATTTCTATGATTACAAGATTCGTATATTGGTTAAACTTTTTCCGTTATTAAAACATTCTTATGATTGAATTTTTTTTCTCTGTATCTATTTCTCTGTTATTGGAATATGCGTATGATTCTCTCTCTCTCTCTCTCTCTCTCTCTCTCTCTCTCTCTCTCTCTCTCTTTCTCGGTTATTAAAACATGCATGCGATTGTTTCTCTCTTTTTATTTCTCTCTTTCTCTGTTATTGGAACATGCGTAAGATTGCCCCTCTCTCTCGGTTATTGGAACCTGCACATGATTGTCTCTCTCTCTCTCTCTCTCTCTCTCTCTCTTTCCGTTATTGAAATACGCGTACGTTTCTCTCTCTCTCTTTTCTCTTTCTCCGTTATTGAAACATATATAAGATTGTCTTTCTCTTTTTCTCTCTCTTTCTCCGTTATTGGAACCTGCGTATGATTCTCTCTCTCTCTCTCTTTCTTTCTCCGTTATTGGAACATGCGTATGATTTTCCCCCTCTCTCTCTCTCTTTCTCCGTTATTGGAACATGCTTATGGTTTCCTCTCTCTCTCTCTCTTTCTCTCTCCCTCTATCTCTTTCTCCGTTATTGGAACATGCGTATGATTTTCCACCTCTCTCTCTCTTTCTCCGTTATTGGAACATGCTTATGGTTTCCTCTCTCTCTCTCTCTCTCTCTCTCTCTCTCTTTCTCGGTTATGGGAACCAGCACATTATTGTCTCTCTCTCACTCTTTTTCCGTTATTGAAACATGCATAAGATTCTCTCTCTCTCTCTCTTTCTCCGTTATTGGAACATGCGTATGGTTCCCCCCTCTCTCTCTCTCTCTCTCTCCATCTCTTTTTCTCCGTTATTGGAATCTGCACATGATTGTCTCTCTCTCTTTCTCCGTTACTGAAATATGCGTACGATTCTCTCTCTCTCTCTCGGTTATTGGAACATGCATAAGATTGTCTCTCTCTTTATCTCTCTCTCTCTCTCCCTTTCTTCGTTATTAGAACCTGCATATGATTCTCTCTCTCTCTCTCTCTCTCTCTCTCTCTCACTCTTTCTCCGTTTCTTCTTTATGTGCATGGTAGCTCCCCACTCTCTCTCTCGGTTACTGGAACATGCATAAGATTGTCTCTGTTTATCTCTCTCTCTCTCTTTCTTCGTTATTAGAACCTGCATATGATTCTCTCTCTCACTCACTCTCTCTCTCTTTCTCCGTTTTTTCTTTATGTGCATGGTAACTCCCCCCACTCTCTCTCTCTCTCTCTCGGTTACTGGAACATGCATAAGATTGTCTTTCTCTTTCTCTCTATGTCTCTCACTTTCTCCGCTATTGGAACATGCGTTTGAACGTCCCGTCTCTTTTTATCTCTTTCTTCGTTATTGGAACATGCATATGATTGTCCCCTCTCTTTCTCTCTCTGTCTGTCTCTTTCTTACTCCGTCATTGGACTATGTGTATGATTGCCCCCCCGCTCTCTGTCGCAGTTTCAATATTTGTATATCAGGAAAAGATTTCGTTTCTTCTTTGCCAAATATCGGATTGTTTGCCTTGGGAAATCACCAAGCAATTTCTCATTATTTTTTGGCACGCGTACACAATAAGTTCATTGACTGCTTTTCTTTTTCCGCCATATTTTTGCTTATCCCAGGCTAACGTTTTACCTTTTCGTTATTTGAGCCTGCGGACAATAAAACGACAGGTAAGTGTCTGTTTTTTTTTCTTTCTCTACAGTATTTAGAAGCGGAGAGGTGGACATAATCAAGTATTCATCTCTTCCCGTAAATATTTAGCAATGAGTTCGCAAACATGATCGATACGTCTCGTCTCCACAAACATAATATGTTTACAAAATCAAGTTGAATTTTATATAAGCTGTATCAACATTTGGCGCCTTTCTGCGGCATAAAGGTAAGAGGAGCCATTAATACTGAGTAAAGCGTTCGTTCCTCCCAGGGAGCTGAACACTAATTTCCTTATAAATTTAATTAATTTTAATCTGCATTCCCATTTAAAATATCAAGGACATTAACACGTTATAGATAGAAACGTCGAATAATATAACTGCATGTTCCTCTGTGGGTAAGTTAACATGTTTTTACACCCTTCCCTCTGTCTTTTCTATAAATACTTTCACGGTAACTTCTCCGACAACCTACTTTCGCTGGTTCCCAAACTGCATGAATTTAAGCATTCTACTAGGTTGTCATCTCAGTCCCAATCATTCACAGTCAAAATGGCTAAATGTAGCTGTCTCTTCTACTCCAATAGCTTCATGCCTCGCACTCTTGCTTCCCTGATAGCTATAATCTCCAAATATTCAAATGCAATGTCAATCGACATCTTCAAATGCATTGATCTTTTTCCTTTCCTCTATCAAGCCTCTTTACCCTTGCTCCCACTCTCTGTAACCCCTTGCGTGCTACTAGAACGCAAGGGGCTTACAGAGAGGTTTTTGGCGCTTAGGTCCCAGCAACAAAACCGGAGATACACTCTTGTGCAAATTAATTGAAACAAAACGTATAAATCCGTTAATATTTACTTTTTTTCCTATTTTTTTTCCAATGAAAAATGACTCAGTGCACATGTTAGTACTTCGTATGTCGATTCCACGAATTCGTTACTTCCAGATTGACCACAGATTCTCGGTTGGATTTAAATCATGGGTATTTTCGGTCCAATCTGTAGTACTTTGACTTGCTCACTGGCAAGGATTACCAGTGTGTTCGTGCAGAGTTACAATGTTCGCACGCTTCCGCAGGCCGTAGGACAACTAATCGACAGTCGAGAGACGGGCGTGATAAAAAACCTGATGCAATCGCAGATGATGCATTATTTTTTGAGGATAAACAAATTTAATCTTACACCCAGCGTAATAATAATAATAATAATAATAATAATAATAATAATAATAATACTGCACAGAGCTGCAAATGATCTAATCTTAGGAGAAAATGTCACTCCAGTGGGTCTAAAACTGGATGTGTAGATAAAGAAAGGAATCTAAAGTGGTTGTTTCAATTAATTTGGACAAGGGTGGAATGTATATCCGGGTGCCGATCTATACCATGCTTCAGATCGGGAAGAGATCTAATCATCCCTTGGTGAGAGACAGACATTTCCATATTGTTGTTCCTGTCTCACCCATTCTTATTAGCATCAAACACAACGAGATGAATGGATGGACGATGATTTGCAAGGAGAAAGAGCTGAGTTGCAGGACCAACGGCAGAATTTGTCTTACGTATCACCTACCTACCCACCAAGACGAGCAGTCAAAATCTTGAATAAAACATCTATTTTGTAATATAGAAAATAGAGTTCGTGTTATAATTCCTCGGCGTTGCATTTGTGTTTTCTCGTATTTCCCTGTGATCATGCAACGGGCCCTTTTCCCAGTTTTCGGTGCCTAAACTTAAAACTGAAATATCTGTTGGTACTGAAGCTCAATCTAAAACCCCTTGCATCAGATCCATCGCTTAGCGCATGTCAATATAGCTTAATAGTTAGCAAGCTTGCTCTCGCTATATCAATTACGACTGAGTAGTGATTTGAATCTTCATTGAGTGTTTCATACTTTCGGCATTGTGTTACATCTAAGCCACGATTATTAAAAAGACACTTCCACGTAGTGTAATGTTTAACAAGCTTGTCACGCTAGATCAATTACAATTGCGCAGTGATTTCGATTCTCACTGGGTTGCCTCATACTTCTGGTCGTGAACGACGCTTAGAAAATACGATCAAACACTAAAGATGCTAAGACAAAAATGGTCTGTTTCTCTTAACGTTTCAGCTTGTACATGACTTCTTCAGACATGCTTTATCTTTACATAAGCCAGGTTAGACGAAATATGAAGTAATTTTCACCTATGTACAAACACTTTGTCACAGACGAATATTCTCTTTACTCTATGGCTATTTTCATAGTAGATTTTATCGTAAATTATTATACTTTGTTCGGCTGGCCCTGACAAGGTAGGACCCTTCTGATCCACCGTCTAGATATTCACAGCAATAGATATCTGTTTCACCAGTCCAGAAATTCACAGCGAGTACCCTTCTTTTCCACCAATCCAGATATTCACAGCTAGTACATATCTGTCCCTCCAGTCCAGACATTCAGAGCTAGTACCCTTATGCTGCACCACTCCAGACATTCAGAGCTAGGAGACATACACAGGTAGGACCTTTCTGTTACTTCTCTTCTTTTTGTTCTTGTACCTGCTTTCACCCGGGGTGGGTTGAGCCGGCTCCAATATTGGAGTTTCCTGGGAATTTGGAATTCACAAGCGATCCCCAACCCGCATGTACAGCACATGAGATTTGATTATAGTGGTGAAGGTTTCGTGCAGGACCAGCCACACTTTTTGAAGGGCCGATTACAGAGACATGGTGCACTACGTGTCACAAGGTCCCCAAACGACCCTCCGCAGGTTTTGAATTCAGAGTTGTCCTTCTCCTAGACCAGTTGCTATCCAAGGCTATAGAACCCAGTCTGTCCTGCTATTTACCATATTAGTACATATACATTTACATTAATTAATTTTATAGTGGAGTTTCATAAATTTAATAGAAACAGAAACTGTTGATGGATTTTTAAACTTGAATACATGTACAGTAAAATAAATGAATAAAGTGCCATGTGTGATACACGCTTAGGCTATCATTTATTTTTCGATACATGACTGACGAGGCAGATTTTTCCCGCATTATGTTGTCATTTCTTTATGCGGTAGACCAGTTGCTATCCAAGGCTATAGAACCCATTCTGTCCTGCTATTTACCCAGAGCAGGAGGGAGAAGAAGAGGATTCACACCTTTCCCAAGGATATTAGCACGTAAGTGAATGTAATGCATTCGACTGGAATTCGAACTCGGCTCTCGGATTCCACAATCCAAGCCGCTATCCATTACTCCACCGTGTCTCCTCCTTTTTGTTACAGCAGTCCAAAAAATCAAAGCTCGTACTCTTCTGTTCCAAAAGTCCAGGTAGGACCTTTCTTTTCCACCAGTCCAAATATTCACAGGTAGGATCCTTCTTTTCCACTAATCCAGACCAGTCCAGACATTCACAAGTAGGACCCTTCTGTTCCACCACTTCATACATTGACAGCTAAGACGCTTCTATTACACCAGTCCATATATTCACAAGTAGGACCCTTCTGTTCCACCAGTCCAGGCATTTACAGGTAGGACCCTTCTGTTGGACCAGTTCATAGATTTATAGCTAGGATCCTTCACTGAAATGTCTCATCTTCATTTAATTCATATTCCATTAGTGAGGAGGAAGTATTGCTGTTTATTCCCCAGACCAACTGATTAGTGAAACGGTTTCAGAGACCTTGCTCACTTGATTGAACAAGTCACCAGTCAACCGCTCTCTATGCTACATATTCTCATAATATTCATTTCTTATTGCTCCCAACTGTACAAGCTTGAAACAACATAATTCAGTAAACATCTACCTTGATTGGCTCTTGGGCCTTGTATTGGCCGAACAACGCTAAAAAAGATATTAGGTTGATAGGTTTAATAAAGTACAAAATGAGGTACTTATTAGCGATTCTATAAGGGAAAACCCTGACGATTTGACGCTCCTGACGTCGAGGAACGTTAAAGAGAAATCGATTGCAATGAGTTCGATTATTTTTTTATGGATTTACTTGATTTTTTGCAGTTTATCAAAATTTTTAAGGTTATTTAAACCATAAGGTTATTTAGTGTGTGTGTGTGTGTGTGTGTGTGTGTGTGTGTGTGTGTGTGTGTGTTTTGGGTAAAATGTGTATAAGGTTTGTTTGTTTAATCTTTTATTATATTATGCATTGAGATAAAATCTTTGAATTAACTGTCTGAGGTTTATGCTTTTGTTGCCGTTTTGTAATTTTAACCATCTCTATCATTTCCTTAGTCCTGGGTATGACGATGAACTACATCCCGCAGCAAGATCGGGAGACAGGAGGTTTTGAGGATCGTGGAACCACCTCTTAATTGCTGTTCTTCTTATGACCAGCCTGATCCGTGGTGGTAGCACCTGTTAAGGTCCTAACTTTGTGCAAACAGTAAACACCCAAATAAAAACTTGTATAATAAATACTATGAAAGTATAAAAATATATTTCTATT